TAGTACTCAAGAGTCTAAAAAGGCCCGCTACCGCGGACATGGGAGCCCTTGCTGGAGTGGATGTATGACAATGCTGAAGGTGACAGAAGCACTGAATACAGGATGACACAGCAGTGATCATACAACCCGATCACACTAAATGTGTCTCTATAGCACGCAGTGTGTTTATCGTGTAATTTATACGCGAAAATGAGTTTTTACGTGCATAGGATACGCATGGGTTGGTTAGGGTAGGTTTAGTAGTGGTGTGGGGTGCGTGTGTATTATACGTTTGGGTAGAATTAGTGGTGTGCGTGTGTACACGCAAATGAACTGCGTATCATATGCACGTAAAAACTCATTTTCGCATATAAATTGCACGATAATACACAATGCATGCTGTAGAGACGCATTTACGTGAGAACAGGCTGGATCATATGGTGAGATTGGTGACATTCATATACATTCAAAAAGAAAGACGAGATCATGATCGCTTCAATAAAATACCAAGGACAAGTGCCGGTGTCAATCCTGAGTCATTTTGATTCTATGGGAAAACACTAAACAGTAATGTTATTGTGATAGTGATGTAATTTTTAAGCCTCACACAGCCATTACGTAATAGCAGGATGAGCCCTTGCCCTGGCATGTAGTATCTACAAATAAGTGATGATTCGGAGATGAATATAGAATATAATAGAATAGAATAGGCTATAGAAAGTTATAGTTTGTATAGTATATTCTATTTGGGATCAGACAAAATTATCTCCCCCAAGGTGGACGTTTAAAAATCAAATAAGGAAGTGTTGACTTATTAAAATCTTGAACTGAGTAAATACAATCTCTGATGATGAGATGGTGCATGTTAATGTGCTATTTTTTTGGAGCAACATGTAGCCTATAGGTTCATCTTAAACAAGTAAATTATGTATATTTTGTTGACCATTAATGGAGAGTTTAAGATGATGGGAATCTACCAAGATATCAAAGATAAAACCAGAGGCAGAAGAGATTAGTGATGTTCTCATTTGGAACACAAGTGTGTTTCATATGTCCTATCCATTTACTGCATTAGCCCACAAGGCCTTAAACAATCTTCTTCTAGACAAAACAGTTTGTACCCTAACAACAGAGCATTTGCTTAAAGAATCCAATTTAGATATTTGCCACACAAGCAAGTTATTGTTAAACAAATACTGTAAGCATATTAGGGGGCTTGAAGCGTTATACATAAATAGAAAATGGTCTAAAAATGTACACACAGTGCTATTTACAGTGCACTATGAATCTATTAATTCTAAATAACAAATATTGTGTTTTGCAATCCTGGTGTGACTATCTGGGATAGGTTCTTCTTGGTTACCTCTTAAATAAAAAAATCTAATGATTTAGTCTAAAAAAGGTAGCTCTTTTGCTTTAGATTTAAATCCAACACAGTTCCTAAAAGTTACCAAACATCCTTAAAATCAAACACTGCAATAAGCCCAACAATATTCAGAATTATACAGGACATGACTTTTCGTAAATGGTTTCTAAATATCTCTAGAATTTTGATGGTGTCATGCTCTTTGCACAAATACACAGCACAAAGCACATGGTGGTCAGCACAAACAATGTTTTGTTGGTCCTCATTTCAAGTGAACAATGTGGTTTTATCTTCCTTTTAGCTTTCATGGTTTTGTTCAAGGTTTTTGAGGACACACAACCTGTATATGATTAAAACTGACAGTATCAAGATTACTGAAGATGCAGAGGACAAACAGCGCAAAATGAAGTAGATATTCACCAACAAACAAATGAAACAAGACTATTTTTTGGGAGGAAAAATTGAGAAAATTCGGCTGCTGCTCTGACACACGTAAATAGGCGGCCATTCAAACCAAAAAAGTTTTTGTGTTAAAACACAAAAACACTTTTTCTTTGTTGTTGTTGTTTTCCTATGTGAACATGCGCTAGATAAATGTCTTTGACCATTTTGTGGCTTTTTGCAATTTTTGTGTTTTAAAATGTTTAAAATGTCAAGAGACACCTTTGTTCTGTTCAGGTGTACCGTTGCTCTCACTGATTGTTTAGCCGGAAGAGTCTCAAGTATTATAGAAGTGCGTAATAGTTTAAATTTCTCCCAGAGTTGAATTTTTAACATGAGCATAGATTAAATTTGTGAACTTTTTAGTGGTGTTAGAAAAAAAAAAAACAGTGTGCTACATGGGACACTGTCACACTGACAGACCAAAACACCACTTTTTAAGATAATGTTTATAGAATTACCATATAATTAACCCTAAGTTGGCTTATAAAATCTTATTAAGATAGTAAGCCTATTAGGATAGTAGAGAGTAAACTGATCAAAGGCATAGTGGTGAAGGTGATAGGGTTTTTAAATAGAGGGAACTGACACTATAAGTGGCTAGAAGCACTTTCAAATTAACAAATGACTAATTCTCTATAAAAAAAAATAAAAAAAGGTAATGCTTTTTCCCCTAATGACAAATGTACTCATTTAGTCCCAACTACAAGATCACCTGTATGACACTATAAAGACATTCTATCCTGAAGGTACTATTTTAGGATATAAGGAAGGATATTTTAGTATAATCTGCTATCTACAATTTGAGACAGCATTTATGTCAGACACTTCACATGGGATGCTTAGAAATCCTGTATTGGTAGACAGTAGACACTAGACAGCTCACCTGTTTGATAATAGTTTTGAAATAAGAGAAACTGGTAGATATATTAGAGCGAATCAATGATGCTGAACATAATTTCATACCTGTCCAAATACAAGATATACAATTCACTAAGATAACATACATCAAAAGAATGAACCATAAGAGACTAAAGAGACAAAGAAAAGAAGATATTTCTCATCCTTTGGGTGTTAAAATATCCTTGTTTGCACTACTCATTAATAAAGATATACTAGTTAACAAAAATGTTAAAAACACTGGCTTGCCAAGTATGTGGTATAGCTGGCAATTTAAATAGGAAAAACACTGCAGTAAGCAATGTCTAGAATTTGTAATAGAAAAAGAATAAAACATCAGCCATGTTTGAGACAGACGCTGTGGTGCATAAGCAACTCCTTACATCAAAGAAAGCAAGAGAGAGAAGCTAAAGAAAGGGGTCACACTTCTACACTTTTAAGTACAGTACTATATGAGACCAGAATAACACAGAGAATGGCTGATTGTGACGTTCATCCATCCCCAAATACCCAACAGTGAACAGGAGGCAGATCATCTCTGATCTTTCACTTCAGTCTTTTGCATTACACAACAAGTGATGAAAATAAAATGAAAAGCGTATAGATGAATGGCAATTTAACTTTATAAGCAGGCTCATTGTATTACAAGCTAGAATTGTCAGGTTAAACACAACTCAATTTTATAAAAATTGAAGTACATTTCCAAAACAAAACTTCTGTATAACTACAAACATCCATGTTTAGACAATTTACATGAAATCTCACTTCTCTTTTATGTAAATATCATTCTGGACAAGGAAAAGCCAGAAGGCATGTAGTGAAACAAGTGTTGTGCTTATATAGCACATATTCACTATAGAAGCAAATTTCCAAGAATAAATAATGCAGGTGAAACAGGATAAACCTGCCTCTACATAACTGAAAGGAGATAAATAAGGGAAAAAAAAAAAAAAAACTTTCACCAAACAGGCACAATACTTTGTCACGACTGCAAGACTGCATGAAGATTGTGTATAAAGTACACAGCAAGCTGTGAGAGGAGCAGTGTGTTTGAGGAACCATCTGTTCTACAGAGCAGCTCTGAGTCATGCCACCCTCTCCACTGCGCAGCATGCACTGATGATGTCAGAGCCTGACGATTGGTCAGAACGAGGCAGATTATGTTGTTTAATATCAGGCAGCGAGATGCAAGTCCAGCTCCACAACTCACAGAATTTCATATTCCCTTTAAAACAGATGGCCTTAAAAAAGATGCAGATAGCCAGCTGTCATATTAGTTAAACCTTGTCCCTGGGCCACTCCCCAACAGTGCATATTTTGAATATCTCTCTCTCTCTCTCTCTTTCTCTCGCTCTCTTTTTATTTTATGTTACTTTTTATTTTAAATCAAACAGACCTGATTCATATTATCAGGACCGGGTTTGAGAAGCACTATGTTAAGGGATGCTGGGATGAAACCTTTAGCATGTGAGAGCAGTGGTTCCAATAGATGCTGCTGTTCCACAGCTATCCTTAAAATGACAGATACTTCCTCCAAAACCTTTGTTGCACAAACTGTTAGCCAATGAGATTTTGATTAATGCAAGGGAAAGCTTCAGGCAAGGACACTAGATGGACAAAACAGACAAACCCAGGAGTGAATCGGGCTCAACCTAGTCTGATGGCACCCACACATTGTTAACCAGCTATTAATTATGATTTTATGCTCCCACGACTATCTAAAAAAATATATATATATAAAAATGTCCAATAGGTTCAATAGACTTAAAATATAAAATAAAAATGTACAAAATATTAATTACTTTAAGATATTAAAATGGAAATAGGAAATATTAAAAAATTCTGAATTAAAATGCCATACAGTATTGGACCCTAAAGGCTATGTGGTGGCTTTAGATCATCATGGATTTTAAGTGTCACAGCATCAGGACTGCTTTAGAGGGCATCGAGGTCAATTTAAGGATATAAGCTATTATGTAACAACTCATCTACGCATCTTAAATATTCATGTTCACACGGTGTCATTTAATCGGTGCAAATAACACCTCATAAAAACAGCACGAAAAGACATTGAACATACATTCATCTGAATTCATTGATTTTAGTGACTAGCCTGCTAGTAACAATGTTAGTGGATTTATTTGTGTATACATCATATAACGGTGCGTTCAAAGAAGCACACACTGTTCCGCGTAAAGATCCGCATTACGATTCAGGACACAAGCTGCTCTGTCTGCTGTAGCACTGCAGCAAACCCATTTTCACGAATGCAATGGTCAAGAGAATGATGAATTTCATTGCCGTTGCTTCTTACCTGAGTGGCTTTGTGGAATTGTTTCTTCAGTCCCGCTACAGACATGATACCGATTGGACTAGTGCTAACGCCGTTTGTGATGTGCAAAGATGTAAATATGCTCACAGATACGTGGATGTGAGACGTTCAAAGATAAACCCTTGTACACTGGGAATCACCACAAGCGTAGGCTGATTATAGCAGCTGATGATGACGTAGCCGTGACATCACGCGTCAGATACCGCCTCTCTACAGATTAGAGCAGAGCTCCTCCTCCAGGGGGAACCTTCAAGGTTAGTTCAACAAGGCGTAATGCCAACAGGTAGAAAGAGGCAGGTCTGTTTTACTGGAGGTCAAGGGAGGAGATGCCTGAAAAAACTGCAAACTGAAAAAATAATCTTCAAGGTGTTTGCTTTAAATGTTTATATTGGAGTGATCTGTCACTGTTCATTAATTCGCTACATTGTGGTGGAACAAATATAAAAACACACATTAGATAGGTGATCTACTCCTCAAAGTGGACGGTTGCTCTCCATCCAACGAAGTCTGCAACATTGGTGTCATTTTGGACTCCACCCTTTCCTTCCAATCACATGTCAAACTCATTGCCAAATCTGCCTTCTACCATGCAACTCAAAAACATTTCCAGACTTCGACCATCGCTCTCAGACTCTGTGGCAGAGTCACTCATTCACGCCTTCATCACCTCTCGCTTGGACTACTGCAATGGTGTCCTGTATGGGGTACCCAGCAAGGTCCTGGACAGGCTACAATATGTCCAGAACTCGGCTGCCAGGGTTCATACACTAGGTTGTGGCAGCACATCACCCCAATCCTCACTCAGCTTCACTGGCTTCCGGTCAAATTTCGCATCACCTACAAAATCCTCCTCCTCACCTATAAATCTCTCCATGCCACTGCCCCCCAGTATCTGGACCTCCTCCATCCCTACATCCCCTCAGGCAACCTCCGGTCCATTGACAAGGGCCCCCATTTCCACAGACATCTGAAATGCTCCCTCTCTGGACACTTTCAAAAATCTTCTAAAAAAACACCTCTTTACAAAGGCATTTAACCCGGAATGACTTTTTCTTCTGTCTCTGCAGTTATGTGTAAAGCGTCCTTGGGTATCGTGAAAGGCGCTATATAAATATAAGTTATTATTATTATTATTATTATTATTATATAGGCTACCATAAAATTAACCTAGCAACCTACAAATGTCTGTATCCTACACTATTTTCTCATGAATTTGTTTTTATTTCTGAATTGATTTTAATTTCAGGTAGAAATACTTTATACATTTTTTTTTATTTACCGTTACCTAATGATTCATTAATAATTATTATGATTTAATGTTCTAGAAAATCCAAAAAGTCAAACCTCACAATTCAAGTCAAGTCAAGTCACCTTGATAGCGCTTTTTACAATACAGATTGTTTCAAAGCAGCTTTACAGAGATAACAGGAAAATAATGCATTCAAATGTGGGGTAGTTAGGGGGGTATGGGGGCATGCTACATATGTGCATTTTAAGGTGTTTGAGGGGGAAAAAAGAAAGAAAAAAAAGGACAATAATAGCTTTAAAAGCATGTCAGTGGGCAGTAGCATAAATTATTTGTCAAGCAGATTCTTAAACATGAGAATGAGGATAAATGTTGAAATGAATGATCCACACTACAAAATGGAAATGCAGAATGTTTCTGCTTATTGTTGACAATACACAATCACATATTCCAAACAGGAATGGCCTTTAATGAGAAATCTTTCAAGAATTATTTTGCAGATGTTACATTTCAATCAAACACCATTGCAATCTCAGTGTAACAGTTCTCAAAGTGTAACAGTGTCCAGAGGCAAATGAGCAATTTATATATTAGCATTAAAGATTGGTTTCAACAACTTGTTTTTTTCTTAAGTTAATCAATGTTTTTGGCACTAATCAGTTCAATTAAAGTTGAATTGTTCACTCATAAGGACAGCCACTTGTCGCCACCTACTGGCTTAATGATGCAAGTTTCGCAAACACAGACAAGCGGAGTGATACAAACGTGATACTGGTGAAATATTCGAACACATTCGAGGACCACACAAATAAATAAATAAATATATATACTTATACATTTTATAAATATATATTTATACTTATGAATTTTGCTTATAGTTTCTGTAATTAGCAAAGAACATCTGTGTTAAATAGGAATACATTTTAATAATGCTAACCAAGCTGACTAAATCACACGACTGCGCAGGAGTTCACACTCACACTCACAATAAAAATACAATATAATTTAAAACAAAGACAAGCTCATTATACAAAGGAAATAATATTACAGATCTAGACAATTTGGGTTGCTTATAGTTAAAAGAATGTCATGACATGAACGATCATTTAGGCTAGATGTCACAAAAATATATTTTTTTATGACACAAGTCAGTTTTGATGACTTTGCAATATTGATAAAATGTTAGAATATTAATAATGAAAAATGAGTAGGGCTCGCCAAAATGTGTAAAATGTATGTAGCCTACAAAGGAATACAAAAGCCAGGACATAGAGTTTTGACGTAGCTTTAATCTCCCTTTTGGTTATTTCAAAACATAATTGACGACAGAACACTACGTTATGCTCGTAGTTTATTTTGCGTGATACAGGGCGCGCCGCATTTGCGCGCGATATAGGCTTTTTTGAGATGAGCATAATACCAACTGGGCTGGACTGTGGAACGAGAGATTAAGCAGAAAAAAAGAAAAAGATTTTTTTTGTTATTTTATCTAAATCAGTTTCTTTAAGAAACTTAATTATATGACAATATATCTGGCCTACTGTTTTCCCCAAGAGACCTGACAATGAGACATCATGATGTTTTGCCTTCCGTAATGACTGAAAGAGGCGTTCCCTCTTGATAGTGTATCTCCTACACTGCTCCTACACTGAAGGAGAACATGTTCAACCGTTTCTGGTTGGTTACAATCATAGACAGTAAAAGAAATGGACACAGCGACCCCATAGACTTCAACGGAGAAAAGTGAAGTAAATTAGAACTCACTTCCTGATGGCTGAGCGTTCTGCGCAGGCTCAAACTGAGTTTGACGACGTAGTGACGTGAGCAACGTGTCTGACAGTTGTAATAATAATAATAATAATAATAATAATAATAATTTAGCAGCAGGGGAGTCAATGGCATGCTAACAGCAGGTGATGGCTTGCTAATCAATGGCGGCCCCCAGGGAAGCTTCGGTTTCCGGGATTACCCCCTTGGTTACAATATATACATTCCCCAGTTGGGTAGACGCGAACTTCCGCGTTTGTTGGCTTCTTATTGACGCTTTTGAAATATAAAGGCACACAATTACAGTATTCTTTAATTATTGTCATCAGCTTAATTTAGGTACCATGTGGTTTTTCTCTTATTCACACGTTTCTGTTGTATCTATCTTCAGAAAAGAATAATAAACTATTTTGAAAGGTAAATAACAAATAATAATATGCATTTCTGCATTTTCGCGGTGCTCTTTCTCAGTCGCCTGAGAGGTTGCGTTAAAGTGGACATGAGCCCCTTAATAGTAGAGCTACTCTAACGAAATTCAAATTTTAAGCAGTTTTTACTGTGGAATTATTTTGTTATATGAACCTATAAACTTGACATTACACAATGCACAATAAGCCGCCTGGCATTTTCAGCTCATTTCGTGGCGCTGTTTCTCAGCCGCCTCAGAGGGTGCGTTAAAAGCATAGACAGTAAAAGAAATGGACACAGCGACCCCATAGAATTGGGGAGAAAAGTGAAGTCAATTAGAAGAACTCGCTTCCTGATGGCTGAGCGTTCTGTGCAGACTCAAACTGAGTTTGACGACGTAGATGTGACGTGAGCAACCTGTCTGACAGTTATAAGTCTTCTAGTAGCTGTGCCAAGACCAAGAGGAATCTGAATCATTCCCTTCCGAATCTTGCAGAGACGGAGATCGTGAGTAGGAGCTGTCCACGAGCTATAGCAGCAGGATCAACTTTATGACTTTCTATGGGCTTCTCCCTTGACTTTATGCCTCCACGTCCCCCCGATTGCCCGCGAGCTTCTCCTCCTGTCTATACGGTAATTTCTCTACTGTGCGACAGAGAGTCACGTGTTATGACGCAATCGTTAGGCTATTTTTTACAAAAACTGCTTCTATGGGGCCATAACGTAAGTAGTCTCGCGTAGCCAGACCTTCAGACTGACGGCTGAAGGTCTGGAATTCATAGCAGCTTTCTTTGGCCAAGGCCCGCCCATAAGGCCGTTTGACAACAACAGACCGGCGTGCAACAAGTCAGTCAGCATAGAAAATCAAATAAGGAGAAGAAAACCGAACACATTACTGAATCGGCCAGCTGCGATGTCAGCGTCTGTTGTTTAATGTTTGCCCGCAAACGCCGCAAAAGCCTGGTCGGCCGGGCTTGGAAAATAATACTCTTCCCAAATCCCGTTGGCAAACAGACTAAAATATCTCTTTTTGTCTCCACTAATTGCCTCAAACAAAACTCCTGGACATCTCTTAAAGAGTTTGCTGTGAACCTCGCATACTTTTGAGAATCCTACGTTTAGCTGATCTTGATAAATGGTCATTGTCACTCATGTAAACACAACAGCTTTTCTTCTGCAATCACACGTCTGCGCTTTGTTTCCCGGCGGACCGAAAATTACCGCGACACCCGCGCACCCGGAAATCCGATAAAATTCAACCAATCAGATGACGACTTCGACATTCCTGAAGTGTTTCCAGTTAAGTGTACCATATGCATCAGACGTTTAGCCAACATTCCGTGGGCGTGACGTCTGAGGCTGAGACTATAACGTAAGATACAAGGTAATGGAGCCTTTTATACATTGTCGTGTTTCTTTAGAAATAAACAATGGACAAATGGAGTCTTTAAACGCCTCAGATGTAAAGTTATTCGCTGTCAAAGTGACACCAAAATTAATGGGAGTCAATGGAATGCTAACAGCAGGTGAAGGCTTGCTAGCGGCTAGCCAATGGCGGCCCCCAGGGAGACTTCAGTTTCTGGCTGGTGGATTACCCGCTTGGTTAAAAGTTGCACTGGGGCCTTATGCCCAGTGTGCTTAACTTTCATCATGCCCAATTTCAGACATATTTACTGTAGCATTTTGAAATTATGGACCCATGAATTTGTCAGATGCAATACACTTAGAATAGCCATTGCATTTGTAGCCGG